CCCCCCCCCCCCCCCAACTGTAATTTATGGCCCCGGCCCACTGGGTGAGCCAGCCTTTGTGTCATGTGTATATACTGTGCCTTTTCTCATTCTCGTTTAGGGGTGGGGGGGGGGTTGTTTTTTCACTGAACAGGGGGATACACCTATGGCTTCCTTGATGTGGAATCATTCACTGTCCTGGATGTAGGTTATTGAATAAACACAGATTGGTACCACCCAGCGTGAGGCGTGTGAGGGTCTGTGGCACGACCGCTGTGGTGACTGCATGGCTCGGCCTCCAGTGGGTCAGAGACTGAGGATAGCCATTCCCTCTCTGCCGAGAGGCCCCAGGGGGCTTCAGTCTGATGGACCTTCCTTGCCTGCCCATGCACCTGGCCCCTTCCTCCCAATGCCGGCTGCCTGGCTCACACTCCAGGGCTGGGACAGACCTGGGATAAAAGGGGTATTGGTGTTGCTGGGGTCAGAGGTCACTGTATGCAGGACACAGAGCTGGCTGTTTAGGGGACAGCAGAGTTTTTGGGGATTTGGGATGCTAAGCCCTTCTGTGTTCACCCCTCAGAGAGGAACCTCTCCTCTATTGGGTGGGCCACACCTTGGTTTCCCTGTCTCCCGGGAGGCAGTGAGCTTCTGAGGATGTGGCCTGCAAGTCACATCCAAGTCCAGCTCCTGTACTTGCCAGCTGGGTCCCCTTGCGTGGGGCGGGGTGGGGGGAGGGCGCACGCATCACCTCAGCTTCCACTTCCATGTGTGCAGAATGGGGCTGACAGTCCCTGCGTTTGACCAAGTCCCCATAGGCTGTTGGCCAGTTTGAGCGACACAGCACACATGAAGTGCCAGTTTATAGTGAGGACCTAGTGAGGCGGGTGAGGGGCCAGACCACAAGGAGGGCTGGGATGGGAGAGTGCTGGGCCCTGTGGGGAGGCGGGGTCAGCAGTGCCACATCAGGATAAGCCTGGGGGCTGAAGTGCATGGTCCATGACCTGGCCTGGCTGAGAAATGGGCCAGGTCCCTTCAGCTCCTGAAGCCACTCCGTTCTCTGAAGGGCAGTCACAGCAGACCCCGCCGTCCCACAGGCCAGAGCAGCCCGGGGCGGGGCTGGCAGTTGTAGCTGGTCCTTGACCACAGTTATTACAGCAGCGTTTTCAGTGGAGGCCTGGCCCCCTGGGATGTAGATCCAGGGCCCTTGGGACTGAGAATGAACCAAGAGGTCACGCCCACCTCCCAGCATAGCCTAGCCAGGGCCTATGTCACCAGGGTGGGTGGCCATGGGTGGCTGATACGTGCCCAGGAACCCAGTCCTTTTGTGAGTCTCTGCAGGATCCATGGCTCAGCACCCACCCCCCTCCCCGAGCCGTATCTGTACGGCTGCAGGATAGTCCCGGGGGCAACCCCATCCTGGGTTGAGGGTGTGAGGGCTGCCTTCCCTGTAAGCCATGGGGGTCCTCACTGCAGACATGAACATGGGCTTTGGGCTCTGTTCTTCCCTCGGGCTTCTGGGCCTTGATTTCCTCAACAGACGGAAGAAACAGCAAGGTGGACCCTCCTATGGGTGAAGAGCTGGTGGGTTTGGGGGCCTCAGGGCAGCCCAGCCAGCAGGAGGAAGGCCCGAGACTGCCTGTACCCTGGGAGCAGGGGCCCCTCTGCCAACACACAACCTTCCCTCCTCCCCCACACCGACTGCTGCTGCCATCCCACCACCAGATTCACAGTGGTTGCAGAATACGGAAGAGTCCCAAACTGGAGGCAGTTGGGTGACCTTGGCAAGTTACTTAGATCTCAGGACCTCAGTTTCCTCTTCTGAAAAGCCACACACCCGTGGGGCTTTTGTGAGGATTAAATGGAAGAAATAGCAGCAAATGGTGGGCACTGTTATTAAAACAGTATACCGTGTGCCTAGGATACACACGAGGGAAACTTTGTTGAGGTCACACAATGGGGTCACACACATAACCCAGCCCTCAATCTCCCCATCAGTGCCTGGCACAGACGAACCTGATGCACGCAGGCTGTTGGCAATGCCCTGGGCCGTGGCCAGGTGCTGGGAGCCTGCCTGGCAGGAAGGGGGAGAGCTGGCAGTGCCAAGCATGAGTGGGGTAAGCACCCTGGTGGGGGCACTGCCAAGACTCTGGGTCCAGCATCCCCATCCCTGTTTTCCCCCAGAGCAGCCACCGGGAAGAGGCTCCCCCATCCTGAGTACCAGCTGTCTACTCGGCCCACAGCCCACAGTCATCAGGGGGGTGGCCCTGGGCCAGGCTGGCCAAGTGGCCAACAGCCCAGGGGCCGGCCCAGGGCCAGAAAATGTCAATGAGGATCAGCCAGGCTCAGCCAACTCAAGCTGTAGAGCAGGTGACCGGCTGGAAGGGGCTCACCTCCATTAAGGGGCATGGACCCTCGGGAGCCCACCAGCCCTCTCCCCTGTGCCCAGCCTCAAGATGGCTGGGGCCTAACTGCGCCCTCTCCCGTGGCTCCTACTGGTGTGGACATTAAGCCTGGCATTCAGCCCTGACCACCCTCTCCAGCTATTTCTCCATGGCTCCCAGAACCCTTGCCCACCAGCTCTCAGGAGCAGTCCTCTGCTCTTGCACATGCTGTGCCCTCTGCCGGCACTGCCGTCTGTCCCGTCAATGACCAGTGCCTCCGCCATCAGTGCCTCGCAGAGCCAAGCGGGGGCTCCTTTATTCTCAGGGATGGGAGTCACAGAAAAGGGTTTATTTACACAAGGAACCCGGGCCCTAAGTCCCCCGGGACAGAACCACTGGCTTTACCCAAGTGGGCCCAGGAGCCCTGCGGCTCCGAGGCTCCCAGTCCAGTGGGCAGGCAGAAGGGCTGGCCTTCATGGCCAGCACCCCTCCTTCCGGTAGCCTGGGCCCCCCGATCAAGCCCATGGCGAGTCTCCCGGGCAGAAGAGGGCTCCTGGCGGTGCAGTGCCTCAGAACCAGCGGCCCCTTCTTCACACGGTGACCTCGGCTTTGCTGTTGGTGCTCAGGTGCCTGGGTCCGCGGCTGGCGCGGCCATAAAGGCCAGGGGGCTGCGGGCTGAAGGCCTCGGGCAGCTTCTCCACGCTCTCCACGCTGAACTGGCGCCGGGGTGCGTCGCCGGGCCTCCGGGGCGCTGAGGAGGCATGAGCCGCCAGGTGGCCGCCGGGGGCGGGCTGGGCCGGGCGGCCGGCCGTCCAGGCCTTGTAGTGGCCCGATGGGGTGGGGCCGGCGGGGGGCACGTAGCCCGGCGGGGCCCAGGGGCAGGCGTCGAGCAGCGCAGGCAAGTCCTCGGGAGGCCTCCGAGCTCGCGCCGGGAGGGTCGGCGGGGCAGCTTCACTCTCGGGAAAACGCTGGTAGAAGTCCCGCGGGGAGGCCTCTGCGGGGACAGATGGGCGTGGGCCGGGGGCGTGGTCAGGCCCCGGGGGCGGGGCCTCAGCGCCTCCAGGCCGGGACAGTCCGCAGGGGCCTGGGTCTCAGCCCCACCGGGGAGGGGGTAGGGCGGGGACAGGCCGCTGGAGACTAGGGCTTCCTAGGCCCGGGGCTCCGGATTCGGCGACGGGGTCCCAGACAGGCGGCCTGATCGGGGGTGGGGTACGGCCGAGGCGCGGCAGCCGATTGGCGTAGGCGCGATGCGGAAGCTGGGAACTTTAGAACTCGAACTGGGACCCCGAGCCCTGCAGTCTAGGAGCTTGGACACCCCGGGTGCGGTGGGCCCGGCGCTCCGGGCACAAACCTGGCCACTCACCCGCGGCCTTGAGCGCGGCTGCCTTTAGGGTGGCGTATTTGGCGTAGTCCGGCTGCCTCGTCAGGCTGCCGCCGCCCTGCAGCCGCGGGGCGCGCGGGGGGCCCGCTGTCGCCGAAGCCAGGGGCACGTTGATGGGGCGTTTCTTGTCTGGATGGGGGAGGGAGGAGATGAGACCCGGCCCGCTGACTGGAGGTCACCCTGCCCCTGCGCTACCACCTCTTCGCAGCCCACTCCCCAGCTACGATTCAATGAGAGCTTGTGAGATGACATGAACTTACGCCTTCGAGACTGAGAGCAGAACCTGACTCTTGAAGACAGACTCTCCAGTGCCTGGGACAGGGCCTGGCTCAGAATAACGCGAGTAACAGCGGCCAGCCCTGAGCGGGTGTTCATCTAACAAAAGACTTGCCAGCACGTTCCTTTTGAGCCTGGCACTGAGGCCCAGGACCTGCTTCTCCCAGAGATGAAGAGAATATTTGAGGATTGGAACCCATACTGGGGGGGAGGGGAGGTGCTGTCAAGCCTGCCTCACCAGCAGGAGTCCAAGAGGGAGGCACCAGCCTGAAGGAAGAGGCCCACAGGAGGCCACAGACACGGGCCAGTCGGACCCCAGGGCACTGAGCCAGAGCCTAGAACCAGGCAGACCCCAGAGCCTGAGCTGGGGATCCCTGAATCTAGAACCTTCCTCACAGAGTCCCTGAGGCTGGACGTTGCAGGACCCTTCGAGGGACCCTGGCCAACAAGAGGAGCTGACTAGCTTGCCCACTGCCCACTCACACACCTGCAGAGGCAGGCAGCTCACTTCCATTTGGGAAACAGCTCACAGCCTCAGCATATCCCTTCCCCTGCTCCCAGGCCCTCCTCACACAAGGGCGGCTCTATGCTGTAGATCAACAAACGCCCTCCCGCTAGTCTACTCACCTGTGCTCTTGTGGAGGGAGCCCCGGGGGAGGCCATCGCCCATCTGCACCTGGACACAGCTACCCAGAGGTGGGTCCAGAGGTGGAGGCAGTGGCTCCTGGGGGCCAGGCTGCTTCAGAAGTTCTGTCAGTGTCCTGTGGGGAAAGAGGGGTGACAAGCAGCCCTCCACGCCTCCTGCTTCCCCATCAGCCAGGTCTGGTCTATCAAAGGCCAGCCCCAGCCATCGCTTCTCACTGTGTGGCCCTGGGCAGCTCTTTCAACCCGTCTGGCCTCCCTTCTCTCCTGTGATTGACATCATACATCCAGTTTCCCCTCCCAGGCACGACCTGTAGCCTCCACACGGCCAGTTCTCAGAGCAGGTCAGGAAACCAATGGGGTCACGTGTAACCAGGGCCACCTAATTTTCCAAAGGCTCCCCTCCTCCCCTTTCTGGAGTCCACTCCCCAAGACCCTCCATGTTGAGCCTCCTCTTCCAACACAAGCTCTGTGAGTGTATCAGGCTCTTGGACTTTGTTTGTGCCACTCCCTCTGGCATCAGTTACTTTCCTCCATCTCCTCCGGGAAAACTCCTACTCATTCTTCAAACCCCACCAGAACCCTTCCTCTACCAGGAAGCCTTTTCTACCTACCTACCTAACGCCCCTCCTGCAGCAGGGGCTTCTGCTGGGTTCTGGGACAGAGCTGCCAGCACAAGCACGGAGGACAGACAAATGAGGGGAAGGAGGAACCAGGAGATCCTGCAGTGGCAGCCCCGCACCAAAGGCTGTGTGACCTTGGGCAGCCGCCTCCCTGGCTACCAGGACACCCAGCCCCCACCCAGCTATGACGGAATCCGACTGAGCCTTCCCCGCAGACAGCCAGACCCAGCCTTCATCCCAGCTGCCTTCAGAGCCCGGAACCCATGATTTTCTCCTAGCTTGGTCTCTCCCTCCTGGAGCTGGGGCCCCAAATGACTGATTCATGAAGCACACTGGAGGTGGGACACCTGGGGTGGGCGCGGTTTGGCTGCAATGTGGCAGGGTCTGAAAGTCTCCTAGTGCCTGCCTGAGTTGACCTCCATGCCCTGCCCACTCCTCAGCTGCCCACACCTGTGGTCTCATCTCTGAGCAAGCAGTCACCAACCAGCCCTCCCAAACACCTGAGCAATTTTCATGCCTCTGAACCTTTGCAAAAACTTTCTCCAAAGACAGACTCCGACTCCTCACCAAACCCTCTGAGAAGCCTTCCCTCACCATCAACCTCAACACGGCAGAATTAAGGGTGAGACTTGAGGGGAGGGCAGGGGTTCAGAGCATACCCACACACGAACTCAAGTTAGGCTCCAGGTCTCCCCAGATAAGAAGCAGGAGTCAGGGCACACAGGACCCTAAAGCCCAGAGAGGAAGGCACTGGCCCGGGCCACACAGCACATCAGGGGTGGTCCAGCTCTTCCTGAAGCATTACTAGACCTGTTTCCCGGTCCCTTGAGGATGAAGTGGGTTCCAGTGAATGAGTCACTAGGCTGCCCCAGCCACCCCCTCTACACCATCATGGCCCTCAGTTCCTGCTGCCCCACTCTGGTCAAGAACAGGCCCTGTCCTCTCCCCCTCACCCAGCATGAGGCTCCAAGCTCAGGAAGCCCAGGCCCTGCTTCTGAAGCATCCAGGACCCAGGCTGAGAGCCACCACATTGCACATCACGGATGCAGCACAGTAGCTGAGGCCAGGGTTCCAGGCCCAGCTCTGCCCTACAGCTGTCTTGGAGCTGGTGGCCTAAGTGGTCTGGGGTACAAGGGATGCCGTGGAGTGCCAAGGAAGCCCTCTTGCCCTTGAGGTCTAGGAGTGGGGAAGCATCCACACCTAGCCCACCCAGGCATGGGGGCCTCTCTCCACTGTCACTTCTAAATACCAGCCTGTCTGTCGTACACCATGTCAGCGGCCCACACAGCCAAGGGAGCAGGGACCTGGGTGAGCAAGTGAGGAGGGTGCAGGGCCCAGGACGGGGGTGGCTGGGGGCATGTGAGTGTGTCGGGGGCAGGGGGGGTGGCGTGGGTGAGGCTTCCAGGGTCAGGACACAGAATCCCAGAGCCCCTATCCCAGCTGAGGAAGAGAACCTGGGTCCTGTGGCCCCCATGTCACATGAAACTCAGAACTCAGCTAACACCTGTCCAGGCCTCACCAAAAACGAATCTGAACCCCGCCACATACACACTTCAGCTCCGCTTCTACACAGGGGGATACCCTGACCCTGCCTGGGGGCACTGAGTGGGGTGAGTGGGGAGGCCTTCTAAAAACCCTAGGGAAATAAGGTCAGGCCTGAGTCACAACTATGCGGGGTGGGAGGGGAGGAGGGAGGGAAAAGTGAGGAGAGAGCCAAGAGAGCTATAGAAAATGTCCCTTCCCTGGGGACCCACGCCTCCACCCTGCGCTAGTGGGGCTCGGGGGCCCCAGGTCCCCTCCCCTAGGCGCGAATCTTGTGCCCTCGGTCGAGCGACCTGCCTTCCCCGCCCACTCCGGAGGAGGCGGGAGCCTCGGGAGAAGGCGGCCCAGCACCCAGCTCCCGCCGGAAGGTCAAGGGGAGACAGAGCGGTATCAGCTGTCTCCCTCCGTGAAGGGGGGTGGGGGGGGTGGGGGGAGAGAGAGACCTGGAGACAGAGCAGGGAGGGAAAACCTGGAGGAGGGGGCTGCTGAGAGGACCAGAGTTTCGGAGAAGGGCGGGAAGGATGAAGGATCGCGAGGGGGCGCCCACCTGGCAGGCCACCTGTCCCTGGGCTGGGAGGGGATCCCGGGCCCCGGCCCCGGCCGGCGCGCGCTCACCTGGTCACGGTGCGCCGCGCGCGCGGGCTGTGGGCCCTCTCCAGGCCCAGGCGCGCCCCGATGCCGGCCAGCACGAACAGGGCGGCGACGCCGCACACCGCGTAGACGACCGTGTGGCTGCGTTCGCGGCCCGGGTCCCGGGGCACCGTGGCGTCGCGGGCACGCGCGGGAGGCCGGCCAGTCTGAACCCAGGCCGGCGTGTCGTAGTTGGAGCAGCGGCTCTGGTCAAGGCGCCGCGGCCCGTCGTGGCAGCAGAAGCGGTAGCCGCACGTGCCGCAGCAGAAGTTGTAGGCGCCCGAGCTGCAGTTGAAGGGCGGGTCCCACTGCCCCATCACGTCGTAGTAGCCGCGGCAGCGGTC